TGGAGGGGCTTATTTTCGGAATTTTACGGTATTTAAGGGAACTGCCAAGAAAACTAAGACAAATTCTCTTTGGATTGTACTAAATTGTGTAATGTGAAATTCTTTAATTTTCTATCATTGATATTTGATTCCGTATTCCGTTTCTGTTTCCGTTTCCGTTTCCGTGATTCCGTTTCCGTTTCCGGATTCCGGATTCCGGATTCCGTGTTTTAGTGCTGCCCATCGGCGATGTCATGCATTCATATGGAAATTACGCTAAATAAGTTGTTGTTGCTGGATGAATTCACGATTAAGGGCGAGGTCACGCAAACCGTGGTAATTTCAGTGCTTACAAATTGGTCCAAATGATGGAAGAAATAGCAAAATATTCACTTAAAACTGAAGGAAAACACAAAACAAATACAGAACCCTACAGAACCAAGCTGGGAATTTATGCGTGTTACGTTCTGGCAAACTTAAGACTGCGGTGTTCCAACGTACTGATATTGATATTTATACCCTACAATGCAGGCGTATTTCGCTGTGCGATCGATTTGGACTTCCTACTGACCCGAGATAGAGTTGAGGCGAGTCAAAAAAAAAAACGATTTCAAGGGAGAGGCTGACGCGTCTTTGGGTCGCGCTTTTATGAAAAAAAAAAACGCCTGCTCTGCAGGCTATGAAATTAATAGCACTCCGGAATTATACTTTTGTTTGTTATTTGGCCGTGACTTTGTCAATAGAAGATCTTTTGTCAGTTGAAAGTTAGAGCTCGTAATTAACGAAAACAAGGTACTGTCATGATGAAATTAACGTGAGCTAGGCCGGCCCTTGAATGTTTTTATCAAAAGTATAAGTGAGAGTGTAAGGTTGGCTCTTGTTCAGACCAGCTCCCTAGCTTCATCAAGAATTGGAAGGATGACATCTTAAAGGAGCTCAAAGGACGCTTCTCACTGTGGAAGGTGCTCACACTTCGCGTCGCATGGGGCAAAACATGACGAATGGCTGAGACCACAGAGGAAGATATATAAATATGCAGTGCCAGGTGACTGAAGATCTGTCTTTGTTGTAAGGGGTGTAATGTTGTATTGGGGACATTCATTAAACTGGGGTCTTAACTATAAAGGTTTTAGTGTTGGCTGTTCAATCAACACCAAATAAAATATTTTAGTAAAAAATGCAATATCTGTCTACATACCTAAAAACATTCTGTTCTTTATTTCTCACTGGTTTTATTTTCAAGCACAAAATCATGCCACAATAAGTATGTTTTAACAGCCTGTTCCAAGTGTTCAGATCCTCTCTATCTGAGGGCCCTTTCCAATTGTCAGAACTGACCGGCCTTAATGAGAATTTCACTTTTAATCAAAACTATCCAGCCAGATCAGTCAGATCCTAAATAATATGCACGAAAGAGATAGTTTTTTCAGCAAAAACCATATGGAAAAAGCCAATTTCATTTGCTAACTGACTGGTCCGGCTGGCCAGTCCTGACAAAAGGAAAGCGCCCTGAATGTCTTGAATTCTCTCTAAACCCATCGCTGTTTTTTTCCTGGTCACTTTTAAGGCTTTGTGTAGTCCCCACTAACCCCTGGAGCAGGCTTATGTGTTCAAAGAGAAAACTTGAATGCACACAAGGAAATAAAGAGGAGAAGTCGTCACGTTATGTTGCCATGGTAGCAACATTTTTGGATCTCAACAAACCATGGTATGGTTAATATGGCAAAAAAAAAATGTATAAAAAATTGACATATATGACTTTCCTCTGCAAGATTGCACTCACCTACAAACCGGTAGGACATACTTTTCTTTCATTGTTTAACCATGCAAATTTCTATCTTGTCAAGGAAGGTTGATGAAATCCAAAAATTTTGCTACCACGGTAATGTGATGTCATACCTTAACAATGATTTGACCAATATTAGATGATACTGTTGTGAAGATTCAGAGTAGCAAAACACAGTGATAGTTATCATATAGTATAATATTATTATACCATATTATAATAATACTATTGAATCACTGAAAATTCTGAATCATTGAATTTTTTTGGTTGAATTATTTAAAAAAAAACCTAAAGATGACTGCTGAGGGTTTGACTGTGTGACTTTTGAAGATTTTCACTGAAAAATTCCAAAATTTTCCTCCAAGAATCCTCCTGAGCCCTGGAATGATCCTTTGAATTTCCTCCCCAGACAAAGTTTGTCTTAAATGTCTTGTGATATGATGCATAACAGTGAGGTGAAAAAGGAGGTTCAATCAGATGTCCCGTGCCGGGATAACTCACAATAGAACACAAATCACCCTTGCTATGGAGATTCATATGAGAAATGATTTCTTGTGCCATTTCAGAAGCTGACACAGCTTCATCATCCTCTCCACAAACAAGCAGCATTGGGCAGTCAATTTCTTCAACTGGGATTAAAACTGGTGGATTAACTTTTTCAAGGCCACGTACAGGAATGCAGTATTTGAAAATACATGCACCATCTTCATTCACCATGACTTGACTGGTATCATAGTAACTGCCTGACAACTTGCCCTTATGTTTGAAAGGCACAGCTGAGATGATGTAGGAACTTGAGATGGGGACTATAGCTTTAATGATATCCTTGCAGTGAATGGCCATCATTAATGTTATTTCCGCCCCCTTTGACACACCCATTACACCAATACCACTGGGTATAACAGCAGGGTGTTTAACAAGCCAGTCTGCAGCCTCTTCAAAATACTCCATCTCACAGTAAGGTAACATCTTTGGCAAGTCATCAAATCCAAAATAAGCCAGTGAGAGAACTGTAAATCCATGTGATGCAAGTAGAGAAGCTTTGAATTCATTTAAACCCCCTGCTGTTCCAAATAAGTCAATCACACCTGAAGGACAAGAGTAATTTAACAGTAAAATCTTCTTGTAATCATTCATGAAAATTCTTGATGTAAATTAATTTTTTAAGATACTCGGCCCCTATGGAGACCAGCCTTAGAGCTGCATGGGCTACCCTATGTAAATAAGGTTTTACTTTACTTTACTATCTTCTTAAACGCTTCTCTTGTATTATAATTTGCTCTATAATTAATGCTAAAAACAACAATACTTTAGTCTAACAAAAAGATAAAACTTTTTGTTATTGCTCCCCTCCTGAAAAGAGCAGTTGGATTAACATTTGGGAACTAATTAAAGACCTTCTTGGTTCATACAAACCACTGCCACACCGTAACAGCAAAATATTGAATTTCAGGTCAGGAGCCTGTTTCTTGAAAGTTCCAGCAACTTTACGGACCCCAAATCAAATATTCAAATCAAAATCAAATTGAGAAAAGCATGAGACCAAGCCATACTAACAACCCCGTGCATTAATGATAAATGTTAAAAAACCTCTACATGTAACTTGAAAATAAACAACAACAGCTTCTTGAGCTGGTTGATCATCAAGACTTTTGAGAAAGGGTGCCTGGTCTGAAATAGGGCAAGAAAATCACATAAGTGTTTCATTTTTGAACGAGCAAAGGCATTACAGAAACATGCCACACATCACTACAACATGGCATTAGTCATATTCTCTACCAAAACTCCTTGTGGCCAAACGTGAACCGAAACTGGGACTGACATAATATATAAACTTAAACATACAGTCAGCTAATATGATTAAATTTTCTGCTCATTTACAAGCAACATGACTTGTCGAATGACACTAATCTCTTTATACTAAAAGCTTTACAAAGTTAAATATCAAATACAGTAGAACCCCAGTAACTCAAACTCTGAAGGGAAATGAAGAACAGTTCAAGTTAGTGGGGAATTCGAGTTACTGGGGTAAATTTCAGTGAAATTTTGATTGACGGTGAGGAAATTTAGTTCCAGTTAGTGGGGAATAGGCCATTTGCACTAAGAGGTCATGTGACATCATTTCTATGAAATTGAAAGTTTTATGATTTTGCCTTCGAAAAACGATTAGGGGGTCATATCTTAAACAAAATAATAGTTATTTGGTTTTTCAAACCCCCACTATTTTCTTAAAATGAGTAAGTTCATAGCTGGTCACGTGACCAAAATGTGATTTTTAAAATTATGAATTAATTACCTATTTCGGAACACAAATTTTGCACTTAAACTTCAAGGAAAATGTTGAAAAGATGATGTGGGAGCATTTACAGCACATCTGAACGTAACTATCACATGTTTAACAAGATACAAGCAAAAGTAGTTTTGGCTGCCATGTTGGAGGGTAAGAGTATGCCCTCCAACATGGCGGCCAATACAAATCATACTACTTTGTTGAAAAATCAAAGTGCAATAAAATATCTCCCTTAAATGAGTTTCCTCTCAAATTTCGGGGGTAAGATTATTTTTATGAGCTCTGTCAATTTTTGGCATCAGCAAGAAGCATTGGTCACGTGACCTCTTAGTGCAAGTGGCCTACTCGGGTTATCCGTGTTCAAGTTATCAAGCTTCTACTGTATTATTATAAATAATATCCTAATTAGTAATGGTAAGTTACCTGGAAAAGGCCCATTTCCTGGGGGTATAAACAAAGTTCCACGCACTCTCCCCTCTCTGACTTCAACTCTTTTTACCCTTTCACTCATATACCATTTTTGCATTGTTGTACTTGTCAGTGGTTGCAAACTGTTTTTTGTTAAACTGTTAACAAATCCTTCGTCTGGTGCTAGATGTCCATCAAAGCAATTCAGTTGAATGGTGTATGGCTTGGTGACATCTTTCTTCATAAGCCGCAATCCTTTCCTCTGACCTGGTGCCTGTGTCATACTCCACAGGAACCCCATCTGTTCAATGCCAGTGTATGAACCACCATGAGAACTGTCATAAGAATTGTCAACATTTCCTTTACAAATATAATGAAAAAACATGATTGTAAGAAACACTGTCATACAAGCAAGTGAGTAAGATATCTACAGGTAAGCTGTTGAACATGAGAAGAGAGACAAGAGAAGAGAGATGGAGAGCCGCTGCCTTCCTCCTCCCACACTGTTAGATGGGTCCAATTCCAGGCTTCTTATTGGACTATCCAATTTTTATTTCTTTGCAGAATTGCATTCCCTCAAACAAACTGACATTTCAGCTTCTGCACTTAAGAGTAAATAAATGGCTTCTACATCCTGTTGGCCAGAACCTCTTTAGAACCTCTATTTTGATAGCTTCTTGTTGGCCCTAAGCTCTATTGTTTCAGAGTTGGGCTTCACTGTCAGTTTTGTTTGGGTTAGGGCTATCTATTGTTTTCTAAACCAAAACTGGGAGCCATTCTTAGAGCTTCCGGCCCACCCTCTACATCAGCTAACAGGAAATCTTTGATTGCTCCAAATTCCTATCTCTCTGAAATAGGCACAAGTTTTCTTAGTTTGTATAAACAAAACTTGTTTTATCTGTTGTTTATAGTTGACCCTAAAAGAGAAGTTTTAGTAATAAAGTGCTTGATAGTCATATCTAAATACACCAAGCTTAAGATGAGCATGATGATGATTGCTTACAAAAAACAATAATAAATTACAAAAACATTTGTTGTCCTTTTTTACATATCACAGATTTTTGTCACAAATCAGTGCTCACTGCTGAATTGATTGTTTTTTATTCGTTAAACTGTCATAAAATATAATACAATGAACTTTTTTACATCACAGTATTATTTTCAGTATCAAATTTAAAGCCTCATGATTTAAGTACAAAAGGCTTGGAAATATTTGTATTCTTATTTCACGACTACCCATATACCGGTAAATCAAGCTAGCAATGAAGAGCCAGCCACACAATAGTGGTATACAAGATTACTGGTAATGGTAATCCATGTTTTTAAGAATTATGCAATTAATAATAATAATAATAATAATAATAATAATAATAATCAAGGCTTTACTTTATAAGTTCACCTTGTTTGTTGGCAACATAATGGGCACTGGATTCAAATACTTCATCAGCATCACCAACCACAGAAGAATGTAAAGTAACTTGTTGCCCAGCTTGAAGTCCTGATATGCATATCTTTACCAGGCGATCCATAAGTGAGGACCGAGGACTGACACAGATTTTAACAGCCATGTCTAACATTCAATGACAAAACATCTTATCAATGCAAATCCCCCTGAGAACATGAGGCTATGTCCCATTCATAAGGGTTTATATATGCTTTTCTCCTTTCCATCCCTGGAAATGGGTATTAAAATTGCTTTTCTCACCCAATAAAGACCTTTAGTTTGCTTCACTTAAGCTTACATCTGTATACCTGCCAACTCTCATGCATTACGCATGAGTCTCACGCCTGCAGACCTAAGACATTGATCCAACGCATCAAGGACAATTTCTCACGCCTGACTAACAAATCCGGACAAATTATTGTTCTTTAACACATGATAAATAATGAAAATTTAATCCAAAAAGGCAGATGACTTTCTGCCCTAACGAAATCAATGCACCCTAAAATTGTTGTCTTTTAAGTAGCTTTGGAAGTGCTCACACTTCTTTGGAACATCTGCGGACATTTATTGCAACGTTCAAAAGTCTTCTGAAAGTCATCAAATATCTTTGGAAGTCGCCAGGATGTTTCCGCAAATCCCAGTCATGACAAGGTGAAGGCTCACGCATTTGACTCAGAAAAAATTGGCAGGTATACATCTGGAACAGCATCTAGTTAAATTCCAGATTCCTGAGAGCTTTTGGACGTTTATGGAAAAAGCGCTATCTGAGTGGAGACGATCATTATTAAGCTTAGTGTTATTTGTTTTTTTTCCGGATTCCTGCCTGTTTAATATGCCTTTAGGTATCGCCCTGCATTCTGGTACTGTTAGGTACTGAAAATATTCAAGAGTATCCACATCATCGTACTGGCCTTTACACCCTGGCCCCGGAGGTTTTCCTTGTAAATTTTCTTCGCGTTAGAGAGAGCGAGCCGCTTTGCGACGACTCATCTCATTTTCACTGCTTCGCAGTTGACTCTCTCAGACAGAGAGAAAAATTCAAGAATAACCTCTGAGACAAAGGTACACTGGCCTCAACCACGTACCCAACAGTGCCAAACGCAGACTGCAGACTTGCAGACTGGCGGGTAAACGAGGTAAACTTTAACGGATTCCCTATCCCTAAACTTTAACAGATTCGCTATCCCTTAGCTTTAAATCATTTTAAAGTCTAGTTTAGAGAAAGGGGAATCTGTTAGAGCATTTCACAACAATGTTCACCTCGTTTACCTGCCAGTTTGCAGTCTGCATTTGTCGCACACCGACCCAGCAAAGAATACAATGCTAACAATGGCGAAACAAAGGTTCTGCTCAGCTTCATATTCACGGTATGCTTAACATTGGAGAATAGTAATCAGAAAGTATTGCATGCATAGGGCTGTAAGAAATTCTTATACAAGGTGATACCCTGCAAAACAACGCCGTCAAGAATTCTTTCGAAACTACCTTTCCAAAGACTTACCGGCAACTTCAACGCAACCCGGCGAAATAACTACCGAGCTTGGTAACCACGTCTAAGTCTGGGTCTGGAAGAGCGTTTTCGGGCCGTTTCTCGAAAGTCCCGATAATTAACGGGCCCGGTAAGCTGTTGCCGTTTACATTAAAGGTCGAGGTTTCAATAGTTTTACATTTACCATGATAAAACTATCAGTTAATGAAACAAAATGGAGTAGTTTGCCAGCCAGGACCCGCGCTCCTATTCTTTATATTTCGATTTGAATATTTGTTTTCGGGCCCGAAAAGTAAGCGGGGCTTTCGAGAAACGGGCCCCTGGAGCCCGTTTCTCGAAAGTCCCGATAATTAACGGGCCCGGTAAGCTGTCTCCGTTTACATTAAAGATCGAGGTTTCAATAGTTTTGCATCTAACATGATAAAACTGCCAGTTAATAAAACAAAATGGAGTTGTTTGCTAGCCAGGACCCGCGCTCTTATTCTTTATATTTCGCTTTGAATTTTTGATTTCGGGCCCTTAAAGTTACCGGGACTTTCGAGAAACGGGCCCCTGAAATCAAATATTCAAATCGAAATATAAAGACTAAGAGCGCGGGTCCTGGCTAGCAATGTACTACATTATGTTTCATTAACTGATAGTTTTATCATGTTAGATGTAAAACAATTGAAACCTCTATCTTGCAAGTAAACAACAACAGCTTTACGGGCCCCTTTAATTATCGGGGCTTTCAAGAAACGGGCCCCAGTCGTATGATCTGAACAAATATTTCCAACTTAAAAACATGCTTTATACCTCGATCTGTGTAATGTCCCCTTCTTCAATACATATAGCGGTTATTCCTCCAATAGGGCGAAGTTGTCATCTTTCAGCTATTCTTGCATGCAGTAGTGTGGCTACTTACGCTTAAACTCCACAATTGTGGTTTATTATACTGTGTTTATTTTTTTCATTCTTTGGAAAAATAAGGGCAAAGGGGAAAATTAAGCCAGCAAAAGAAGAAGAGGGCTCTTTGTCCACTTGAGTACTCTTCGCCTTCTGGAGCGATATTCCCCTTGCCAATCACATGCTTTAAGTCTGGAAGTACACAAGAAACCACAGAACTTACCAAAGCGTTGCGTGGTCCTTGGTAAAAATAGTTCATTTTCAAGTTTGTGTAAACATTCTGGCATTTATTGACAAAATGTCTTGTACGTGTTTAGTATAAAACGCCTGCATGGTGTTAGGACTGAACTATCAGAGTCACCCACTCCCCCTGGGGATCCCATATTTGGGCAAGATACAATTGCACATCTCCCATAATACAATATGCTAACTCCCTGGTGTAAGAAGTGCCAGAGAAAATACATGCGAGAGCTTTCTTTTTACTCTCTCAAGTTCGACTTGCAGGCCGGTACTTGGGCAGTGTACAGGAAAAAACTGGGCGTGCATAATCTAAAGATGACCTAATAAACGCACAGTAGTATGCTACGAGATAAGCAGTAGGGACCTGCTATATAACCTGCGCACATGTTTGAGTTGAACGTTACATTTGAATTTCAAATCTAATTTTTTCTATATAATCGCGCTGACGATGTACATGAAAAATTTCTCATTTTTTGAACTGATCTGATTGGCTGAGAGCAATGCAGTCTTCAGTAAGCGCAATGCAAAAACGGAAAAATGAAAATAAAAATATCTCAGAGAATAGAGCACTGTGATGATGAATAACAACAGTAAAATATAGTACGCGATATGTTCTTTTACTGTAAACAATTAAGAAATTTGAAAATCTTATATTTACGTATATCATGTGTCAGTGGCAGTTAATTTACACTGGATTTATCGCTGTGAGCGCATGACATTTCACTGATCGAACACTTTCCTCCTCCGTTTCTTCAATTTCTTCAATTCTTGTTTTTTCACTTATCTTAATCTATTTTTAGAGATCTGTCCACTGAACTTATTGGTTGACAGTCGCGGTTTTGTCCTTTTCACTAACAGCAGTCACTGCAACCTACAAACGACTGCTATAACTTGCAAATGCTAACTTTGTAGAGAAGAAGTTTAGAATATGCTTCCAGGAATCTTCTTGAGCCATTGCATGTTGCCTGGGATTTCCACCCCATTCTATAGACATTCTATACGTCTTGTGGTAGGAGCTCGTACAGGGTGGGGCATACGGTGGCTCAATTAAATGCCCCGTCCCGGGGTAGCACCGGACTGTGCATTTAGATTCCCTTCCATATTTCCTCAGCCTGGATGTAATTTTCTCGACCATTTTCGTCGTCATCATGCTTTTATCATCATCCCCACATATCAATAATATATCCCCCTGGATATTTTCGACTTTGATAGCTGCTGCACGACCCGGGGCGTCCGTCGAGTCCGGTGGATACGTTTCCTTGAAAATCAGTGTTCCATTTTCCGAGACCTTTACAAGATCTGGCTCAAACTTTATGAAGTCAGTTGGTTTTCCTTGGTATTTGAGCGGGATTCCTACGATGGCGTGAGAGGGAGATATTCCTACAACCGCACTGATGTCTTTCCTGTGCGCCGCGATTGTAAGAACCAGCTCAGCACCTTTAGACACACCCATCAATCCCAGACCATGTGACATGACGTCATGGTGTGCCAGCATCCAATCACATGCCTCGAAAAAGTACTCCAGTTCAACTTCCGTTATCACCTTGGGCAGGTCATCATAAGCGAAGTATGCAAGGGCTAAAGCTGCAAAACCATGTGAGGCCAGGAGAGAAGCTTTGAACTCAATCAAACCGCCTGCTGTACCGAACAAGTCTATAATACCTAAACATTAAAGGCAATCATTAAACGTCACAATTGCTGTAAATGCTCGAATTAGCGCCTCTTCTTTTGACTGAGATAGTGAATATGCCCCCCTATCCCCAACCAATCTGAAGGCTAGTTTTCACTAGCGACGGAGTCAGAGGCGGAGTCGTAAACAGATTAGCATCGAGCGAACGTCACGATCTAGTGATGAGAACAACAATTGAGTTCGATTCGTTTACGCGGACAGCGAACTTGTAATACTTAAATTTTCGGAGACGCAGGCAGAACCTGAGAAACTAAACCCGGCAATTACAAAGCTTAGGAAGGAGCATCGCGACTGTTTTATTCTAGCTTCCGCTTGTGGCTTCCGACTCCGCCAATCTGGTTTTTACTAGATTGTAAGCGACTGAGTCATTAGCGGAGTTGTGAGAAAATGGAAACGTTCTGATAGTGCTCGTGGATAGCAACAGATCTTACCGTAGTTATTACAAAACGTGCTAAGCAAAGAAAATTCACCACCCACGCACAAATTTGGCTGTACGATACGTTGCAACTTTCGTTTTCTTTTAATGAAGTGTTGCAGTTTACGTGGTATCTTGAGGTCGAAATTGCGATGAATGAAATAAGCGCCCTGTTAAAAAAAAAACAAAAACATAAAAGTCCTCTTCTCGACTCTAAAAACTAACTAAGCGCCCAGGCACTAATTCGAGGATGTACGGTATTAGTATAGTAATACTAACCTGCGTGCTGAAGTCTCCAATTATGAGGCAAAGGGAAATAGGAAACGTTTAGGATTAGCATAAGATTCTAGGAAACTGTCAACGTACCCGCCCGCCCAAAACCCTACGTTAACACTAACTTCTTACATAGTTAGGGCAAAACGTTTGGTTAGTTCACCGTGAGGAGTTATGCTGTTTCCCAGAATCCTATACTAATCCAACTTATTAACGGAAGCTAAAAATACTACGCAACTACTGTAATTTCTAATTGTGAAAGGTTTGAACCCAGGAGTCATTTCAAAAGTAGGTTAAGGTGAACGTAGTCCTAAATAGGACTGTTGTTGCTGACAGTCACTGTCAACAACAACAGTCCTATTCGGGACCTATTCCTTCACCCGGACGATCAAACTCAACCTACTGTCGGGGTTCTCAATAGTGGTGATAGCTGGGGGATTTGAGTTGAGAAGAATTCAGTTCCCGCAGCTCCGAACCATCACAATTGCGCAGCAAATAGAGAGGATGATATTTTTTTTTGCCAGAGGCATGGACATTTTTCGACTTCTTACCTGGAAAAGGTCCCTTTCCGGGAGGTATAAACAATGTTCCACGCAGTCTCCCCTCCCTGACGGGAATTCTCCGCACCCCACGCGCCATGTACCACTTCTCGAATGTCACGTGAGCCAAAGGCTTCAGCTTCACATTGCTAAAGTCTTTAACTTGGTCGTGAAATAATTGCAAGTGGATGTTATACGGTTTTGTGGGGTCCTTCTTGCTAAGTCTTTGACCTTTTCTTTGTCCAGGTGAGAGTTGCATACTCCATAATAACCCCATGGAATCAACTCCTGTGTAGGTCCCTGCAAGACTTGTCTGTTCTTCTAGACAAACCCTTCCGGTCTCATCTGCTTTAAAATGACCATAAGATTCTAATTCCTCGTTGGAGTCCCCAATTAATTTTGCCGCTATCGTTATGGACTCTCCTGAAGAAAGTCCTTTAACGTTAATGCTAATTTTTTCGTCGATTAGTGACCGTCGCGGCTCGACAGTCATTTCCGCCTGAAATAAGCGACTGCCGCGTGATGTGACCTCCGATGAAACCGAGTCAGACCGTGCTGCACTTTCTGGAGACTCCATTACTTTCGATCAACCAGTGTCATGGAAAGACAAAAATTCTGAATACCACTTTTGATTGCTCGAAGTATCGAAGCTTTTGGGCTTGAAGCAACCACAAATCACATTATCTTTATTCTAAATATAAACAATGCTGCAATGAGTCAGTAGTATGTGAACTTTTTGATTTGATAGCTGCACGTGACTTATTGTTGAACGACGTTTCGACAGCGATCAAGTCAAATTTATCCACTCTTCTTCTTTTAGATTTCAGCTAAAATAAACAATGCTGCAATGAGGCAGTATGTCCTGGGGAGGGGGGGGGGGGGTTTCCCCCTTTTTTTTTTTTGTTTTTTTTATTGGATGGGTGCCTGTTATTTGTTGGCGCACTCGTTTTCCACATAAATAAATAAAATTTTTCCCTTCTTTTTTTTTTTATATTTAAAAAAAAAAAAACAGTGTGACAGAGGGGATGTGTGGGGGGGGGGGGGGGGGGGGGGGATTCTCCCTTATATGGCCTATACGGGGATGTGCCGCTGGACAGGGTATGGTTTTCGTCCTCTTTGTCCTAAACAGGGTATATAATTTCGCACGAGTCTGTCCTAAACAGGGTATATAATTTCGTGCAAGTCTGTTGTTGAGAGGAGAAAACCGTGACTCGAAGCAATCGGATGAATTTCAGGCTATCCTAAACAGTGTGCATGATTTTTTGCGAGTCTGTTCTTGCAATAAAATTGAGGGATTTATCCTAAACAGGGTACTAAAATTGAGGATGTCTTCATAAACAGGGTATGTATTTTAGGAATTTTTTCTCCTAAACAGGGACATGGTTTCAAACCCTCAACGGCTCACCCATACCCAAATATTGGTCGAGTACCCCCCGCCCCCCCTTCCCCCCCAGGGCAGTATGTGAACTTCTTGATGAGACGGCTGCTCGTGACTAATTGATGAAAGACGTTTCGAGAGCGACCAAGTCAAATAGCATTTATTCACTCTTCTTCTTTTAGCTTTCAGCTCTATTCAGCAACATATATTCTTAACAGCACAAGAAGAAAAATAAAATTTAAGTGTTCTTAAACACGAATAAATCTTGTCTTTCCACTTAGGCCTTATTCCTACACCCAGGCCTACCCTCCATCAGTGCGTAAGAAAACGTCAAAGCCCGTCAATTATAAAGAATATCCAAACAGTAACTTACTCATACAATCCAATTTTCCGGACAAAACTGGGTTTGGAGAAAACATAGCAGTCCATTTATTATCTTGACATCTATAAGATGGATTCACAAACAAGCCCGTATATCCCGGTGGTTGTGGGTTAAAGAAGTAACCAGAATTACACCTCAACTGTAGGAAAAAGCCAAACTGTGACGCTATACCTGCAGTCGATGTAAACAAAAACGACGGCAGATTAGAGTATTCCAGCATCAGGGGCGGATCCAGGGGGAGGGTGCAGGGGGCGCGCACCCCCCCCTGGGATGACCTGCGGCCGCTTTCTAATTAACACTGTGCAGTCGCTTGACAGACATACGAAATCTGCTCTATCGTTTGATATGTATTCTTAGCAGTTCACATTATGTTATTTCCTAGTCAAAAGCCCTCTTCTTCGTATTCGCTTTTAAAATTTTTTACGTCATCGGTCAGTTAGTGGTGCACCCCCTCCTAAGAAANCCCCCCAGGGCGGTATGTGAACTTCTTGATGAGACGGCTGCTCGTGACTAATTGATGAAAGACGTTTCGAGAGCGACCAAGTCAAATAGCATTTATTCACTCTTCTTCTTTTAGCTTTCAGCTCTATTCAGCAACATATATTCTTAACAGCACAAGAAGAAAAATAAAATTTAAGTGTTCTTAAACACGAATAAATCTTGTCTTTCCACTTAGGCCTTATTCCTACACCCAGGCCTACCCTCCATCAGTGCGTAAGAAAACGTCAAAGCCCGTCAATTATAAAGAATATCCAAACAGTAACTTACTCATACAATCCAATTTTCCGGACAAAACTGGGTTTGGAGAAAACATAGCAGTCCATTTATTATCTTGACATCTATAAGATGGATTCACAAACAAGCCCGTATATCCCGGTGGTTGTGGGTTAAAGAAGTAACCAGAATTACACCTCAACTGCAGGAAAAAGCCAAACTGTGACGCTATACCTGCAGTCGATGTAAACAAAAACGACGGCAAGGTTACAGCATTCCAGCATTCTGCGCCCTTTGTTTAGAATAAAGATGATGTGATTTGTTTCTTTTTGTCAATTAAAAACCCAGATTTAGAGTTCATTTTAAAGTGCGAGGTTTTCTTTCTTTTTTTTTGGAAAAAATAAAAGGAATAATTCACAAGTTTTCTGGAAGAAAACTGGGAACAAAAGACACAGGAAGTAAAGGAGAGGGGACTAAGCTCTAGGCGACCAATTCAACATGGCGGATATGGTGAACTGATTCTTTGGGACTGACAACTGGAAGTTCGAACCTTTAAAGATGGTCAATATTACAAGTATAGCTTTTGCAAGAAAGCCCCGACTTATTTACGGGGTAAAACGAGGAAAGGTGCCCACAAAGCTTCGGCCTCACCTGCTCCCAAGCAGACAAGATGATGGAAGTAAGCTGAAGTTCTTATCCTGAAGTTCTAAGCTACTTTACACGTACACTGCTAGTGTAGGCTGTTCAACATAAAGTAACTTCAAAATCGCGGTGCTGGGGGCAGCACTGATATAAGTATATTCATAAACGTAAGAATAACACAACATTCTGCCCACGTGCCTATGCTTATCTCACTCAGTGTATCCTAACTGTTACCAACATACCATTCATCACTGCAGCAAGGCCATTAGGTTACTCTCCAACTTTTGTGAAAGTGTAGCAGAACTTCCAGCTCTCACGGTTTGGGCTATCAACACACGATCTCATGATTTAGCCTGCAAATCTCACAGTGAATCAGAAAATCTTGAAATTGCCGGACAATTCTGGTATAAATCGCGTAATTTCCAAAAATCTGTCTTCATAATGAACGAATTGTATCAAATCTAATTTTGGGGGAAACCTAGGTCCAATCTAACCCCCATTTCTGTGAACCGTAGGATTGATATGATAACGCAAACTCAAAAGGAAACTCAAAATGGCTACTCACCGTCTTATGGACATGGATCGTGAAACAGAATCTCAAACTGAAGCAGGGAGTTTGGAGTCACAGCTTCCAAAGAAAAGAAAATTTACCATTCTGGTTTTTTAAAAACATATTTTGGAAATCTACAGGTTTTAGATCCCAATTCTCCAGGTTTTTTGGGACTTATTATCAAACACTCCAGATTTGAATGGTTTAGGGGTTGGAAGGTCTGCTGCGGTCAAAAACTTGTGATTGCTATCTAAAGTGACTACATCATAGACAAAAATACAAGACACTTACTGATTTAGCAATAATCACAGCATGCAAAGAAAGTGATGTTCTAGTGGATTTTGCTATCAGGCTAGTGAATTTTGTTCTCAACTTGACCAACAGGCAAATGAAGTTTTTGGGGGAATTCAAATTACAGGAGATTTGTAATCAATCCTTGTCAAAAGAGGTCTCTGGACTAGTTCAAATGACTCTTGGGCTAGTAGTACATGCTAGCTACAGCTCACCCAAATAGCAAGCTTTAAAACTGACTTTCGTTGCTCTCTGTAACCAGCTATTCCACTTTCAAGTTTTTTTATTATATGCTTGGCAGTATTTGTTCTTGAATATGATTGGTCATCACCAACACTCTGCAAAATTAATTGGTTTAGCGATCATGTTTTTTATGTCTTTGCACTTTCTGCATTGCCTGCAATATGCCAGCTGGTTAATAACTGTTATTCTGATCATTCTAAAAGACATTCTTGGTCAGCCTCCTTACATGTTTTGATGCAATAAGTTATTAAACTATACAAGTCATTTCTTGTTTTAGGAGCCCCTTGTGTACATGAAATGTTCCAATTGTTGGGTTGTTGGAAAAGCAATGCTTATGATGATGCCTACTGCAGAGAAGAGATTCAGTCATTTATGAACTGTGTTTCACAACAGGTAACTTCTCTTTTCCACTGGCAGTAATTCATTACAGAGTGTATGATTATTAGGACATCCACACCACCCCATGTCGCTGTTTTAACGGCCATCTTTGTGTCATTAGTCGCCATTTCTACTGTCCCATATTGCTGTGTCAAGGCCATGTCGGTTTCGGTATTTTACTACTGTCTTTGTGGTTTTTTCTGTTGCTGTCTTTGTTTTAACCCATCTTTGTGTCATTTGTTGCCATTTTTGCTCTCCTATGTTGCTGTTTCAAGGTCATATCAGTGTCGGTATTTTACTATTGTCTTTGTGCTTTTCTCTATTGCTGTTACTGTTTTAAACCATCTTTGTGTCATTTGTCGCCATTTTTGCTGTCTTCTGTTGCTGTTTCAAGGCCATGTTGTTTGTTGGAATTTTACCCCAACATGGGCCTCATAACTGTAAAAAGTGCATTTCAGTTGCATTTTTAGCAGTCAGGGAAAGAAATTTTAGCCATGACACCTTTATTTACCCACATTTGTATCAACCAAACAAAATTGTTGGAAACCAAACTAAAGTGAAATACTATTTACTTTTCCTGTACATATCTTATTACAAGACTCGGCTTCATGGCCCTTCTAAAGCGGCATCCTTGAGCTAATTGTCCAGAATAAAATGAAAGATAGCAAACTTGCAACAATTTCAGCAAATAAAAGAAAGTGAATAATACCTATGAGTCTCTGAGCTGCATACAATTATTTTGTTCTTCATTAACAGATGGAGATAGGAAGAAGAAAGTCTAGCTCTGAGTGGACCCAAGATGAAGTTAATGCCACATTGAAACATTTTACGCCGTATTTGAAGAGAGTTCGCAGTAATTGACTGGGCAAAACACAATCTTCACTGATAGATGACTAATATTTGCATCTATCTAGACAGAAAGATGGTTTTGTTTAAAGTTCCTGGAAAATAGAAGGTGAAATTTATTGAAATCAACTTTTTAAACAACTTTTTGTTTTT